ACCGAGTATAATAAACTTATCCTTTCAGTACCCAGTTATGGATAAACATTACCTCCGGTAGAAGATTATCCATACCGGGTATAATAAGCTTATCCTTTCAGTACCCAGTTATGGATAAACATTATTCCGGTAGAAGATTATCCATACCGGGTATAATAAGCTTATCTTTTCAGTACTCCGTTATGGATAAACATTGCTCTCAGTAGAAGATTATCCATATCTGGTATAGTAGCAGGTTACACAGCAGCTTCATTTCTTCTATAAATAGAAGAGATTTCAGTTCATTATGTACATCAGTTTGAATTCGAATAATATATCAGTTTCTCTCTATAGTTGTCTTTACTTTACAGTCTTTATTTTATAACAGTAGATGAATTTTGAAGGAGATTTTATTTCCAAATGATTCTGAATCCGTAAATATTTTAAAATGTATGTCTTAAAATCAGTTAATTTTCTTAAAGATAAATAAATCTAAATTTTGAATTAAATAAATATATTTTAAAAAAAATCCAATTTTCATGGTTCAAAGCTAAAGAGTCAAAAATGTATGTTTTAAAATGTGCAATTTTTAATGTTTAATTTTTAAATAATAATCTTAATCGAATTTGCTTTTTAAATTTAAAGATTAATAAATGTATGCTTTAAAATCAATTAATTTTTTTAAAATAAGGAAATCTTTAATATTCGGGGAAAGTGGGTTCTAAATGTGCAATTTTTAATTTTAAATAAAAATCTAAATCAATATCTTTTTTAAAATTAAAGAGTAAACAACGTATGTTAAAATTAGTTAAATTTTAAGATGTATGTTTTAAAATCAGTTAATTGTATTAAGATAATTAATTCCGAAATTTGAATTAAATAAAGCTCTTTTAAGTAAAAAATTTAGTCGTCACGGTTCAAAGTTAAAGAATAAAAAACATATGTTTTAAAATGTGCAACTAATGTTTAATTTTAAAATAACAATCTAAATTAGATTTCCTTTTTAAATTTAAATATTAATAACGTAAGCCTTAAAATCATTTAAATTTTTAAATAAAGAAATTTTTAATATTTTAAAAACAAAGAAATCTGATTTTTTTTTAAAAATAATCTTTTAGGTCCTATTTTTTTGGAGCATTGTCCTAAAGTGCCAAGTGACATATTATGATAATGCCACTTGGCTTAATGAGGATGCTTCTTTCTCTCTTTTTAATTAATTATAGATAGATTAATTCTTATTCTCACTGTAAAAATTATGTGGAGTAGTCACTTTTTAATGTGGTATTTAGTTTTTATTCAACATTTTTATTACTGAGCAAAAATAACCACCACTCTATTAAAATTAATACGAAAAGTCGGTTTTACCCTTTCTTCATGAGTGTTGTGTAATATTAAGGACAAACAACACTCATAAAGTTAAGGACACCATGTCTTTAATATTTACACTACACTCATGAAGTTAATAACACCATTTCCTTAATATTTACACTGCACATATGAAGTTAAGGACATGATGTCCTAAAATTAATAACATAAGGTGCAAATACATGACACTTGTCCTTAATATTTACACAGCACTCGTAAAGTTAAGGACATCATGTCCTTAATATTTACATAGCACTCGTGAAGTTAAGGACATCATGTCCATAACATTTACACTGCACATATGAAGTTAAGGCTAGGATGTCCTAAAGTTTAAAATAGAAGGTGTTAATTCAGAACACTTTGTCCTTAATATTTACAACACTCATGAAATTAAGGACACCATGTCTAGCATATGGGTATTTTCGTCCGGACGAAATTTTTTTTATTAAAGCACTGGCTAAAGAGTAAAGACATTTTAAACTGTGACTTAAAAGTAAATACAGTTCTAATTAGTGACTAAGTGTGCACTTAACCATTCTCGCTTGGGCAGTTGGGTCCATTAAAAAACAAGGGAAAATGCATAAGTACCCCCCTAACCTATACCCGTATTCCCAACTACACACTTTTTCTTTGCGGGAATCCTGTTACCCCCCATAAACTTATTTTAAATGAAATTATTTGCACCGTTAATGCTGACGTGGCAGAGTGTGTGTATTTCAATCTCCCAAAGGAGAGTGAGAAGCAAGAAAAAATAATTTTCAGATTAATTTTTATTTTTTTTACCATTTTTTCTTACTTTTTTTCCTTTTCCTCTTTCTTTGTCTTTTTTCTTTTACTTTTTTTTTCGTTTTTTCTCTAATTCCGGCGGATATTCATTCACCGGCGACGTTGTCTAACCGTTTTTCTTCCATTTTTTCTTTTCACACACAAATTAAACTCTCAAAAAGTTCTATTCATAAGCAAAGCATAATATACTCAGATTTGGAGGAAAAATTTATCATCAGAAAACCTTCCCACGCCGGAAAAAATGATATATTTAAATTTTAACTGGAAAAAGTTTTCTCAGCTTATATTCGTTTTTATTTCTTTTTCTCTTCNAAAAAAAAAATGAGAATAATAAGAAATAAGAAAAAATGATAAGAAAAAAAAGAAAGAATAAAAAAATTACTAAAAATACATGTGGGGGCGCGTGTAGCTCACCACTTGCTAAGAGTTTGGTTGTCTAGTTTTAGGGTGCAAATAATTTCATTTAAAATAAGTTTAGGACCGCAAAGAAAAAGTGCGTAGTTAAAAATCCGGGTATAGATCAGGGGGTAGTTATGCATTTTCCCAAAAAACAAACGAATAATCCTTTTATTAGGTTAGTGCTAAAGTTAACATTTTAAGCATAATAAGTTTGTATATCAAAAATATTAAATTGTTGGATGTCATAAGAGAGACGTGAATTAACTGTTGATAATAACGGTGATTTCAAGTGATTAACTCTTGATTATCAACAAAGTTCCTACATGTGTATTATTGTTTCTTCAGTGTGTATATAAACAGAGGCGAATCCAAGATTTAATGCTTATGGGTTCATGTAACGACCTTGAATAAATTTTCAATAGTAATTGAGTTTACATTTAAAAATTTATAAATATTTAGTAAATATTCCAAACATAATTACACTGTTTGAATAAAAATTACTGAATTCGCGTAAACCGGTAGATCGCAAGGTAGATCTACCCCTATATATAAACAACTAGATATAGGCGTTATTTCTTCATCAATTCTTACATCCAAGAGAGCGTATAATTGATGAGAATGAAAATTAATCTTATGCTTAAACAATATGTATTATTTTAGGTGTTGATATATTGTCTCTTTTCGTTTCCTTGAGCCGAGGTTCTATCGAAAACATATAAAGTCTGCGTATACACTATCCTCCTCAGACTCCACTTGTGAAATTTTACTGGGTCGATGTTGTTTTAATAGTTCGTGTCATCAAAAATTAGAATTACACAAGGGAGTATACATATAACAGAACGGGTAGCATTTAGACAAAGGTCATAAGTTATGTGACAATACAATATAGGAATTTTTACCTCATATAGCAAAGGTTAACACCTTATTTATTTTAAATAAATACCATTTTAAAAAATTATATTCTATAGATACCTTTTAATGTTTGTAGCAAAATATCTAATTTTGGGTACCTCCTACTTCTAAGTCACTATATACGCTATTTATTATCTTTCTTTCTCCTTTTTCAGATTTTTCTCTCACATAATTACTGTATTTGATGTAAACTTCTCACTCCACGTTCTATCTCTCTCTAATTTGATACATGTCATTCTCTGAAAGATCAAAATTCTCACCTATATTCATAAGTTTCTTCTCTGAAAGATCAAAATTCTCCACAATATCTCCCACGGTTTCTTCTTCAACTTCCTAGCAAATTCCCCTAACTCCCCATTTTTATTTTTGTCTATAACTTTAATAGGAAAGGAAAAGGAAAAAGACAATCTTAGAAGACTTCTACATTAGCGAGACCCAGAAAAACCCACAAGTTCAAACAAATCAATCTGACCGTATACAAAAAGGGGGACCAGCCAAAGATAATGCAAAGCATAGAAGTTGAAGAACTAGTCCATCGTTGGTAGAGAGACGAATCCTCGAAAACGATACGCAACGTCTTGCCATGATTTTTGCTCGGCTACTGTACATGATGCGTGGGAACATTGAGATTCAGGGTTTCTGCTCGACGTCGGATTCACCGGAAATTAGGGTTAACAAAGACGACGAAGTTTCTAAGCAGCTTGAATTTCTGTTAATATATTTCAATGTATCACGCTGTATTTTCATGTATTTCATTGTCTTTTTTTTTTCTCATTGTAATTCAATGTATCTCGCTGTATTCTATGTATTTCATTGCATTCACTGTCTCGCTATATGCCATGAATGTATTCATATATTTTTTTTAATTAATATTATTTATGTATTCAGATGTATTAGATAATTTCTCTGAAGATTGCTATGTTTTTGGGGTATTTTTTGTTGAGAATCTTTTTTATCACTGGAAATACAAATTTTGTGTGTTACAATTGGGTTTGTTGAGTTATATTAGGAGTCTATTATGTTAATTGATTCACTTTGCGTTTAAAAAGAATGTAATCCCCTGTTTCATGCCGTGAATACAGTCGAATACAATAATCTGTCCAGCTGTAATCCCATGTTTCACGCCATGAATACAGTCGAATACACTCGAATACAACAACTAATTAGTTGGACTTCTCTGATTCACGCCTATTTTTGCTACTGTATTCATGTACATCTTATAACAACAGAAAACGTATCTACAATCCGTAATATAGCAAATGGTATCTATAAAAAGCTAATTACCACTAAATGATAGTGCTTTATGAAAATTTGTCTACAGTATAACTAAACAAGCTTTAATTAAGCTTGCTAAGTTATAAATTTGCTGAATCCTTTAGACATTATGATACAAATAGCATCTAATACTAAAATCCAACTAGTTTAAGATTGAGGTATAATTAATTGATTGATTTGTTTTATTTCGCTGTTGAACAATACGAGTGATTGTGAATTCTATAGGAGTCCTAAGTACTTTGTCTATAACAAGAAAATGCAAGAGTTCAATCAAACAAACCCCAGAAACAAGAATAAAGGTCTTCACTGAAAAAAATTGACTCACACATGAAGGCAGATGAGTACATGACACGTGTCTTTCATATACACTTTTATTGCTAACCATGGTTAATTAGTACTACTATGTACTTTCGAATCAATCTATCAATTAACCATCACAAAAACCAATATAATTTAGTGTAAACATGGAATATGAAATTCGAGTAAGTTCTTTGCCGATCTTTCACCTCTTATATATTGTCTATGCCTTATAGCCTCATGCTATGGTCTTCTTTTCAGTACGGGACATCTTATCAATCTCTTCAAGAGCTGCCCATAATTTTGGATCTTCATAATCTTTAATAAGAAAAGTAGGATTTGCTTCCATAAGTAACTGAGATGGATTTCGATTTGCCAAGCCAACAACAGACATTTCAGCTGCCACCCCAGCCTTTATTCCTGAGACAGAATCCTACCCATGGAACAAACATACAATAAGTTTCATTAAGATGAAACTGAGGTTAATTTAAGGGATGCCCAACAAACCTTCAATCTATTATACTATTGTTATGAAACTAATTTTTATAATAGGAAACATAACTCAACTATGCTTATATAGCAGAAAAAACAATAAGTGCCGGAATGCTTAATCAAATGCCAAAAAACACAAGTTTATTGATAAATGTATAAAATTGCCATGTAGGTATAGTCACGTCATTGACTCACCTTACACACTATTCATGTCACCACTTAAAAGAAAAAGACTCACTTTCTGAACCTAATAACGTCCGATGTCTGTCGCCATGTGACGTGATCATTAGTTTTTTCTTTAAAAAGATTGGGTCGGAAATTGGGTTTTTAATTTTTTTAGTGGTGCCGCATGGATAGTTGCTGAAGAGACGACCTACTTATGTTTTTGGGACCAAATTTAGCATTTTCTGGCATTTTTATTTTCTATAATATACAAACATAATGAGTTATTTCTATATTATATAAATTAGTTCTATGAGTTTGGTGCGACAAAGAGAAAGTTGGATGATTGTCCATGAAATGACTTTGATGAATACTGATAAGAAAAACTGAAAGTCAAAAGAAATCATACCTCAAATACAAATGTGTGATCTTTTGATACATTCAACACTTCAAGGGCCTTCAAATAGGGATCAGGATATGGTTTTGCATGTTTGCAGTCACTTCCAAGAATCAGTGCATCAAAGAAATCAGCAAGGCCAAGCTGATTTATACACAGTTCAGCATTTTCTCTAGGTGCATTGGTAACTGCAGCTCGTTTCAGACCACGATCTTCAATCCACTTTCTCAACTTGTAGAGACCATTTAGAGGTTTCAATTGTTCTTTTGCCAACCTATAGTTTCCACCCACAATAGCTATGAGATTGGTGGATTAATGATATTGAACTTATAGTTAAGTTGCATAACACTAATTGAAACGGGATTTAAGTTAAATACACTGAAGAACCAATCTTCTCATATATGATCGACATCTTTCGGAGCCCTTCTTGAACGAATTATTTCTATTGAAAAATAGTAAGCATTATAGAAGTCTTTGATATATTTTGAGGTTACCCTACCGCTATTCAAGGATCCTTTCATGCATTAGTTAAGGTATCAAGGATTATTAATTCTAACTTCAATAGGGCCGCTTCTCCTTTTGATGAATAATTGGCAATTTTAACTTATCAATTTTTATCGATGTCATTTTTCTCTGTACTTTCACATAGGAAGGATCCGATTTTTTACACGATCAATGTGATTTAATATATTGAAGCAGGTTACGAGTTAATGGTTATCATAAAGATTTAATTGTAATTATTTTATAAGTGACCTGATTATGTAATTATTTTTTTACACTAGAAGTTCATACAACTAAACAAACTCATTGAAAAAGACAAGGTATGGTAAGGAAGTTAAATACCTTCTAAACAAAGCTTCCTTGTCATCTAAGAATTTTACACCCCTTTCATGATCATTAGGGAAAAAGACAGAGACAAGATCGTCATTGTGTTTCCCAGAAATAGTCTTGACAAACCACTCCTCATCAACTGGCACACCCCCATTGTAGCCTATCTGTTGAAATTAACACAAATTGCAAATGGAAAGAAAATCGTCACAAAATGACATTCAAAGTTAAAACTTTCTCAGTAGGAAATAAAATCTAGTAATAGTTGGAATGTACCTCCAGAAGCATTTCACAGAATGCAAGATAATGAAATGGATCAGAATCACATAAAGTTCCATCAATGTCAAATAGTACTGCTTGAAGGGGAGCAAGCCTTGCTAGAGAGGAAGCACTGCTAATTAAGACAAAATATAGCAGCAATTAGCTATACTCCATTGATCAAAAAAAGCAAAATCCAACTATAATGAAACCTCTGAAGACTCGACATCTTATCCGTAGTCACATTTGTTATGTATTGAGAGTTGTTATCGTTTGAAGTTAGGCCTACCTACTTGTTTTTTTTCCTTCCAGATACAGGAAAAAGTCATCAAAGATACTATCTGGGAGAAAACATGTGACCAAAACTAATGGAACAAAAAACAGGAAGTGCTTTGAAAAATCTATGTGGGAATGATGAAAAAGAATTGATCATTTTACATTTTTCATATACATCAATCAGATTCAACATCTCAAAACTTCCAAGACGTGTGATATGGACAGATAAATAAAATATAAATGAAGAATTTCAAAATGGTCACTAGGAGAAAATGATTGCAACCCTGCAGCAAGGGAATGAAATTTCAGCTCTCATTCACATAGCAATCAATGGAAATGTTGCAACAACATCACAGCAAGATCAAAATCTTGGTCAAAATACAAGCCGTCCCTTAAAATATAAGCGAAAACGAGAACCAAAAATTTCACCTTTCCTTGGAGTTTTCTCCAGCAGAAGCGGCCATCTTGTTATAATGGATATTACACAATTGTTAAGAGTTGTGTAATAACCTTAGATGAACCAACTTCTACTTGGAAAACTGCCTTGAAGATCAGCTTAAACTTGAAACTACCTCAGAAGCAAAGAAAGGGAAAATAATACTAGAATTCATGGAGACAAATATGATAAACAATGAGGGGTAGAGAAGTCTCAGAATTCTCCTGTACGAGAAAATTGCAAAAAAAGAAGGTTTTTCGTCTGATTTCTAACCAACTCCCTTTACAAGCAATCCCTTTAGACAATTTCTTTTCCTTTTTTTCTGATTAAAAAAAAATAGAGCCTGAAATTGCTGGTTAATGTGAATTGAGCCATAATTTAAACCAAATGAAGCATTCTCTCTCTCTCTTTTTTATATTGTAAGCAGAATTAAGAGGGGAACTTAAGATATCTCACTAAGCAACAATTGTTTGGAGAGCATTTCATTCAAATCATCACCCCACCGTTCAATTTATGATTTCTAACCTATTTACATGTTATACAAATTTCTTTACTTTTTCAGATCTTTTAACGTGAACGCCATAAACATAAAACAAACTGTTATTCCTTCTGTTCCATTTAATGAGACAGTATTTGGCTAGGCAAAGTTTAGGGGAAAAAAATGATAAAATGTCTAGTCTAAAATAAATCATACTTATTTATATAACTATAAATTATCTCATTAGCGTTTATTAATCAAATTACGAAATGTGAAACATAAAATGAGAAAGAAGAAATAGTTCCTCTGTCCAATTTACGTGATACACTTTAATTTTTAGTCTGTGCTTAAAAAATAATGTAAATTTTTATATTTAAAAATAATATAACTTTAAACTTTTTATTTTTACTCTTAATTAGATGATTGTAACAAAACAAATACTTTTAGCTCATGTTAGACCAAATATTTTGAAAATCTTTCTTTCTTTCTTAAATTACATGGCCTAATCAAACAACATGAATTCAAAGAGAACAAAAAGAGTACCAAAATTGACAATAATAACTAGAAGAAGCCCAATTTGTCAGCTCCAACTACAGCAATACCCTTGCCCTTAACGGACTCAAAAAGCGGCGCCACCATTTTGCGATAATGAACAGGCCGATTCACCTCTTCTTCAACATCAATCTCCACGTTATAGACTTTAACTTCATTAAGCCGATCACCGAGCTTCTCTCCGACTCTAGAAGAGATCTTCGCGTCCCACAAATTGCGAAACCTAGGCACTCGGTTCAGCCTGGCTTTACACTGCGCCGCAAACTCTTGCTCCGATGATGAAGCCATTGCCACGATTGTGTCGGTGGTGGTTGTTGTCACTTGTGCCGTGATTTTACGGCAGGAGAGGCGTAAGCGGAGGAGGTGGCGGCTTCCGGCGGTGGACATTTTACTAGGTTGTATTTGGGTCGGGCTTGGTTTCTAGAGTGATAAAACACTATATTTTAGTTAATTAGCTATATATAGATATCATCTGCTATATTACGAATTGTACGTTTTCTGTTGTTATAAGATGTATTAGATGTATTTAAGCTACTGTATTCGGAAGTCCAGCTATTCAGTTGTTGTATTCGAGTGTATTCGACTGTATTCATGACATGAAATATGAGATTACAACTAGGCAGATTATTGTATTCGACTGTATTCATGGCGTGAAACAGGAGATTACACTGTTTTTAAGTGGAAAGTGAATCAATTAACATAATAAACTCCTAATATAACTCAACAACTTAATTACAACACACAAATTTTGTATTTTCAGTTACAAAAAAAGATTCTCACCCGAAAAATACCCCAAAAATATAGCAATATTCAGAAAAATTATATAATACATCTGAATATATAAATTATATTAATTAAAAAAAAATATATGAATACATTCATGGCATATAGCAAGACAGTAAATACAATGAAATACATAGAATACAACGGAATACATTGAAATACAATGAAATAAAAGACAGTGAATACAATGAAATACATGGAATAAATCGAGATACATTGAATTACAATGAAAAAACAGACAATGAAATACATGAAAATACAACGTGATATGTTGAAAATACATTGAAATATATTAACAGCAAAATAAAGTTGCTCAGCCCCAAACTCCGTCGTCTTTGTTCAAGAACAAACCCTAATTTCCGGCGAAACCGCCGTCGAGCAAAAACCCTGAATCGCCACTAGCTATAAGGGTTAATGATGTCTAGACACCCCACTGGGAGATACTCGCCACGAGTCATCCATCACGTTAGCCATGTATCATGGTCGTATTTTACCAATAGAGTTTAATGATACAATGTTTGGAATTAACTAGCTTGAATAATTCGAATCTGAGCAAGTAAAGACAACAAGGGGATAAAGAACCATTTAGAGAAAGATTTTATGATTCCACGAGCCCGAATCATACTTAGAACCTCGACTTTGTCAGTTTAGCCACACCCATTAATGGGTCTTTGTCGATACCTGGTTTAACAAAGGTCGCCGTCGAGGGGCAGCCTGAAAGTATAGTTCACGAAATTGAAGATATGGTTTGATTTCGACATTGATTCAGAGCCCCATGCCACTAATAATGAAAATTTCGTTCGACAATGGAGATGAATCAGTGGAGAATCATGGTTGTATTCATGGAGAAAGATTGGCGTTAGAGAGAGAGAGGGTGGAGAAAAATCTGAAGAATGAGAGAGAAAAATAATACAAAGCATATTTTATGACTTAAGTGTAGGAGGTGACCATAAATAGATATTTGACTATAAAAATCAAAAAATAGCTATAGAATATAATTTTTTAAAAGGGTATTTATTTAAAATAAATAAGGTATCAACCTTTATTACAGGACGTAAAAATTCCGTGATAAAAATAATTTTGTTCACTGGCGTACACAATATATTTGGGCGAAATGCACAAATAGTCCTATTAAGACTGCTATTTAAGATATAGCCAATAGTTACAAAATATTTAAAGTTTAACCGTTTCAGAATCAAATTATAAACCTCGAATTTTTAAATTGAAGTTTTCAGACCTTCGAGTTTAAAGCTCATTCGAGTTTGAAGTTAGACTCAAAGGGGTAGTTTGGTTGGAATACGATTTATACTGGTATAAGTTATATTGGGATAAGTTATGCTGGGATTAGTTATGCTGGTTGTTGTTTATTCATTGTTTGGTATGTTCTATTAAGAATGACAATTGCATAATTTTTAAGAAGAAGGTATAAGTTATACCGGTGCTAATTACCCCACATTTTATAAGGTATAAGTTATCCCAATATTAAAATTAATACCGGCATAACTTATACCTGGTTTGCTAACCAAATAAAGTATTAAAGTGGTATTAAATTTTTATATCATCCTTCTACCTTCTTATACCTCATACCTCGAAGGTTTGAAGTTTGAATTTAGCCGTACAAACTAAAGGTTTGAACTTGGGTTCTACCAATTCAAAACTTGAGACCTTAAAGTGAAATTTATAAGGGGTCGTTTGGTAGGAGGTATTAGAAAAAATAATGCAGGCATTAGTTCTATGCATTATTAATACCTTGTTTGGTACATTTTTTCAACATGTGTATAACTAATACTTGTATTAGTTATATATCATACTTGGTATTATCCTATGTATAAGTAATGCATAGAAAACCATGTCATTAGTAATGACAAGGCTATTAATGCATGCATTAACATGGTTAAAGACAAAATTATCCTTAAAGTCCCTTAAAGCTAGAGAATACGGAGGGCATTTTTGTAAACAACTATTTTTCTTAAAAATTATGCAATGCATTATAATTTTAATACACCACACCAAACAGTAAATAAGAAATAATATCTGCATAACTAATATTTGCATTACTAACACATACATTACTAATCCATGCATTACTAATACATCTTATTCCATACTATTCTTATACACACTACCGATGGACCCCTAAGTTTGAGTAATAGAGATATTTTTGAATATGAATATATTTTAAATGTGCCTTAAAATCGACTACCTGGTGCCTTAAAAGATACATGACAAATTTAGCCCTTTTCCCTTAAAACATCTTCGAGTAAATAATAGAGTATAGGTACTTACAATCGTGGAGTACAAATCTAGCTACGGGTTTGATAGAACATGTAAATAATCTACCTCAAACTCAATAACTTATTTTGTCCTAGTTTCCAAAATTCATATACTTAACTAGCATTTGGACATATATTTGATTGAAACTTGAAAAAAAAGTTTTTAAAATTGTGTTAGAAAAATAATTTTTGAAAGTTAAAGTTGTTAGGATTTGCCCTAAATTTTTAATCTATTAGGACTCCCTTTCTTAAAAGAAGGGAAAAAAACTCCTAAAATGAAATAAATCTCTTTCTGTTATAAAATAAAAGCAATTTAATAAAATGTAAATAAGAAACAAAGATAGAAGAAGGAGTATTTCACTTCCTTTTGGTGTGTCTTTACAATGCCATTTACATAGCCTTTTATAGGCATAAAAAGTAAAGATCACTATAGTAAAATAGTGCAAGGGATAGACATAAAGTGGAAATTCATCCACAAACTATTCATACATGGACTTCATCCACATACTATTTACAACACTCCCCCTTAGATGGACATGTAAAAAAAATATATCATTAAGAGCTTAATAGAAAAAAAAAGAGTGGGAAATACATAGTTATTTGCTATACGCATTACTTGCTGCCTCATTAAAAACCTTACTAGGAAAACTCAATGTGACAAAACATTAGTTAAGGAAAAAAAGAGTACAACGCGTATTTTTACTCACCCTAATTAAAATATCACTTAAGGTCTCGGAGACACCGTATTCCAATCTTATATATTAACTTCTCAAACGTTGAGGTTGGCAATGTCTTAGTAAACAGATCCGCCAAATTATCACTTGAACGAACTTGTTGAACATCTATTTCACCATTCTTTTGAAGATCATGAGTGAAGAAGAATTTTGGTGAAATATGTTTTGTTCTGTCTCCTTTAATATATCATCCTTTCAGTTGAGCTATACATGCAATATTGTCTTCATACAATGTTGTTGGAATATTTCCTTTCAAAGAAAGACCACACATTTCCTGAATGTGTTGAGTTATTGATCTCAACCAAACGCATTCTCAATGGCTATTATCTTTGCATGATTTGAAGAAGTAGCAACCATAGTCTGTTTCGTTGAACGCCATGATATGGCTGTACATCCACATGTAAATAAATAGCCTGTCTAACGTCACTATTTCGTCGAGGTTAGGATCAACACTTACGGAGTACATGGGGGTCAGTTGTACTCATACTACACTCTGCACTTCTTGTACAAATTTTGGTACGGGTCCCAACTGTCCGTGATGCGTTTCAGCTCGGAACTACTTTTGGAGACTCGAGGTAGATCTGCTGGCGTTCGCAGACCTTGAAGTCCCCTTCTATTTCCCCTATTTTACTGTTCTTTTCGTTCAAGATAGTTGTATTTACTTCAGACCCTGTTTGTAGAGATTCTAGAAGCTCGTGAATTGTGACTCCAAATCCAGGTTGTACTAGATATTATTGGCTTTTATATTATTCCGCACTCAGTTTTAGTTTTATTTCGATTAATTGATTTAGTTTATTGGAATTGATTTAAAATTGGCTTAAAGATCCTTTAACGTTGGCTTGCCTAGCAAGTGAAATGTTAAGTGCCATCACGGTCCCGAAGGTGGGAATTTCGGGTCGTGACAATATACCTTTCAACACAAAGCTTATTCCGAATGGTTAATTCATAATGAATAACTCGGTACTTACAAGAACATCTTAGGATTCAATTCTAGAAGTTTAGCCAACATACCTTGCTTGAGCTTCCCTTAGATTACCACAACGTCCCAACACTTTTAGCAATTCCAATCAACTAGAGATATAACAAAACTGAACCATAATTAGGGAGAGATTCATGGTTTTAGCTTACTTAGGCATTTCATCAAGCACTACGTGTGCAATTTCCACTATAAGGTTTCTACGGTGGGATCCTTTCACCCCACAACAAATTATTTACCATTTTTAGTTCAACAACCTCCACACCTAAGAATCATACTTCTTATTACCTAATTTTAGTCCGAATCCCGAAATTTAAGGCTAGGGGGTAGAACCTTACCTCTTAGATGAAGATATAGGGATTGACTTCCTTGATTCTTGAAGATTTGGGCAAGAATGGATGATTAGCATGCTAGATCTTCTCCTTCTCTCTCTAAAATAACTCTCCCCTCTCTCTAAAAAAATATTTCATATTTTACCTTGTAAAATGACCCCTAAGGCCTTATATCAAAATAGGATTGGGTATGAAAATTTTCAAAAATGATCCCTGAAATCAATTTTGTGGTAGTAGAATCAATATATGGCCAACGGAATGGCAACAAAATTGCAAATCAGTTCCGCGAAGCAATTCCGCGATAGTAGAATCAATATGTGTCTAGCGGAATGTCCTCAAAATGGCATGTAGATCCCGCGATGCAATTCTGCGATAGCAGAACCATTAGGTGGCCAGTAGAATGGCCACAAAATGATTTCAAAATTTGCCAACTTTTTGTGTTACTCCGCGACGGATATGCGGTCCGTGAAGTGATTCCGCGATCGCATAATGGACCGTAGAAAGGCCATTTTCTGCAACATTTTACCTTTAACTCTCCATTGCATTATACAACCCAA